GAAGTTGTGTCAGTTGTATTTGGTAGTTTCTTCTTTCCCACAAGAACTTTAATTCAATGACAAGGTCAAGAAGTGACTTTGCTTTGACAAAGACAATGAATAGGTAAAGCTGACGAAGCATTTGCAGTGATAAGTTACCTAATTAAAGAAAATAGAATTTTATACTGATGGCCAGGAGAAGAATATAGAAGTTAAAACGTGGCATTCAGTTTACATTAGTTCTAAATTTCAGGTCAAAGTAAAAATAACCAGTTTAGGTTTTTTAACTGCCATAGATCACCCAAAGTGTTAATGTGTCTTCCCCAGCTTGTCTGTCCGGTGCTGAGGTGTGTAGGAAACCTCCTGTCCTCCTGCCCAGTGGAAGATCTGAGCACCCAAGTGGGCGACGTTCACCTCGTGGTTGCTCTGTGTGCACTCGTTCAGGCCTACCTGCACACTCGCCCCGCTTTGGCCAGAGAGACCGTCTGGGTCCTCAACAACCTCACAGGTTTGACACATCTGGTTCAATCACCTCAGATCTCCACTGAATCGCAAACACACACTTCTGCACTGATTTTGCTTAAATTGTACAACTTGACCAGAGACTGACCAGAGTTTTGGAGAATTCATATCAGCAGCCTTTAAGACTACAAGCAGACAGAAGTATCACAGTGCACTTGATCATTTTTGATATAACAGTTATAAAACACTGTTCAGAGATTAGAAAATAGATAAATATTTGTCTGGAGAAAGTTTTCTTCCTCATATCGCATAGCAAAAATATAGTTGTATGTGTATGTCTCCAGCCATAGAGAACCCTATGTTTTGTAATAATAATATAGAGCTTCTTTATTAACCTTTATTTACACTGTGGCTCAGCAAAGTGGCAGCTCAATAATGCACACGACAGCAGTGTTTAAAAAAGCAATCCAATAACCAGGGTATTCTTTTTGTCTTTGTACCATCATCGCAATGGTCTAGACTAATTTGCAATTGTTTGACAGCCTATTATGCCAGGTGGTTGTTTGGAAACCAACTTAAGAATGAGCATTGAAAAGTTCAAGTCCTCCAATCACAAGGTTGGTGGTTCGATCCCCTGCCCCTCCACAGTCGAAGTGTTCTTGGGCAAGACACTGAACCTGAAGTTGCTCTGTCACCATTGGTGTATGAATGGGTGAATGAGAAACACATTATAAAGCGCTTTGGATAGAAGTGCTATATAAGGCAAGTTATTAGCATCTTATGTCACACTCATATTAAATAGAATAGTGAGTTTGGAGGTTTAAGAGGATCAATATCTTGCTGATTTGTCATAGTTGTGTAGATTAAATAGATCATTCTCTGATGCTCTGTGTTGATTTTACTGTTTATAAAAACAATGTGCTCATTAAATCAAAGGAATAGGGGGATTTTTCTGTGTATACTGTGATGTGTCTCATTGTGTTTCCCATCACTTTCTATTCCAGCTCACTCCAATGAATTCTGCTCTGCTCTTTTGACCCTCAACTTGGTCCCAGGACTGATCCAGCTTCTGCCTTTCTCTCAAGGCATCAACACTATGGTCAGTGCTAGCTAAAACCAAGCTTTGATGTTATTGCTGTTTTGTATGCTTCAGTCATAGTGACACATAACGATGGATATCATGTCCATTCTGCTATTCTTTGTATTCTTTTCTTTCAGTCGTCTATTCTAACGAACTCCTACAATGTTGCACTCCCATCTCGCTGATCTTATTGTGCTTTTTTTACTTAGATCCTCAGGATTCTAGCAAACATTGCCCACAAGAAAAAGGAATTCTGTGTCCAGCTCACACAGCTTGGATTGCTGTCTGCGCTCTGTGCCACACTTAAAATGATGGACCAGGAAATGGTGACCCTGAGTCTGGATGTGCTGTTCATGCTGGTAGTTAGTAGTCCACAGGTAAGCAAACCACACTGATTAGTGAAACCAGCCTGGATTGATTTTGCTGGGCTCTTCTATGTGCAATAACTTTAAGATGATGAAGTTCTTTTTCTTCAGGTGGCAGAGGAGTTTGTAAAGCAAGGTGGGCTTTCACTGTTAGAAGCCATTCAGTACAACGGTGAAGGAGAGAGGAGGCGGAGGGCAACATATCTGCTGGAGCAGCACTTACTGTCCTACCAACAATACTCAACGATCACATAGTTATGTTTTCTTGGTTGAATCTGTAGTAGTTCAGGATTAAAAATGACTGGTGTGAGCTGCTGTGTCACGAGGTGGACAATATACCAGATCCCTGAACCATCAACAAAACATCTAAAAACATAAGAACACACCTCAGGATACAAGACAACTCCTTTGTCAGGGTTTTTTCACCACAGAGGGATTTTTGAGGCCTCCACTCTGCTGACCGATCATGGTGCCCATTCTGGGCAAGAAAAAATCTGGTTAATGCTCAGACTTGTGTACGTTTTAGAATTTTTTTAATGCTGATAGACAGACATTGTTTTTGTATTTATGCATAGATTTCAATGTTGAGTGTATTATTGGTGTTGTCACTAATGGTGTTTGAGATTAAATATATTTTTAATTACCTGAGAATAAGCACTAAGGCTAGTTAAAGTATGTCCGAGGTGTGTCAGAAAAGCTCCAGGACTGGTGTCACAAAAGATATATTTTCGAACCCAAACTACAAACTAAGAGTTTTCCCCTTCAGACGATCAACCAGCATGTCTACAAAGAGATCCTGCGGCGTTTGCTTCATTCAATGTGCGAGAAGAGGCGAGAGTTGTGGCAGGTCAAGTCGTGGCTGCTTCACCATGACAATACGCCTGCTCACAATGCCCTGAGCATCCGACAGTTCCTGGCTGAGAAGAACATCTCCGCGATGGAGCAACCTCCCTATTAACCCCACCTGGCTCCGTAGAATTGTTTTCTCTTCCCCAAGCTCAAGGGGGTCATCAAGGGGACCTGTTTTGAAGACATGGACGATATCAAGATGGCTGTGACGATGGAGCTGTGGAGGATCCTAGAAGAATCCTTCCAGGAGTGCATGGCGGTGTGGCAGAGCAGGCTGGGGAAGTGTGTTAGACTCCAGGGGGATTACTTTAAAGGGGGAAAACTTGTAGTTTGGATTTGAAATATATCTTTTGTGACACCAGTCCTGGAACCTTTCTGACACACCTCGTATGTAAGATAAGATATGCATGTACATACAATTGTATTTATATTCAGAAACAACCTATGCCATTGAGACAGTGAAGTAGACGGGTCTATTTATATTTATCATAGTCACAACTAAAACTGGAACACCTACTGTATGTACAGGGAATGTATTTATACACTTACAGCTGTAAATATCCAGAATGATTGTAATGCAAAACCACTTTTTGGAGGGATTTGTGTATTCTTTAAATGAAATAAATTTAATACAAATGTGAGACTTTTTTTTTCCAAGTGTGAGATATTATATGCATAGAAAGGAGACCGGGAATAGATTATTTAAAAAGATTTCTTGGGACATGAGAGCGTTACAAAAGATGCAGGTATGAACAAATTTAAAGCCTCTTGGAAATGATCTTTTTAAACACCATTAACATGTTAATGTACAAGAAATAATATATAAAGAAATGAAAAAACAAAATGCAAACAAGGTTTAATCTGAAATACACACTAGAAAAATATCTGGTTTGTTATTGTGAACATGCTTTAACCCAGTCAGATCAGCATTGTTCGTAGACATAAAATCAGACTTCTTCTCCCTGGATATCCACACATCTCAGTGGAATTTCATTCTGTTCTGTTGTGGTGACTTGGGAACAAACAGTACCGAAAAACAGTTTCAGTCTTGCAGGGGAAAAAAAGTCATGAATCCACAACACAATAAGTGCCAGTGAATCTTTTGTAGCAAAATAAGGGAGCCTCTGTTGGCCACATTTGATTAAAGGAGCCTCCTTCTGTGTGACATAAACAGCCTTCAAGGAAAGATGCAGCCCCTGAATTGGGAAATGGCTCCACCCCTTAATGAAAAAAAAAAAAATGCTGTCTCAAATTTCCACATTTCCTCTTTCCACCCACAACATTCACTTCCCGTTATGTTTCACGCTGCTTTTCTGCAATAAAAACCTCAGACAAGGTGGGTCACTTTATGTTCTTATATATATCCATACATTCTTTGAAACTCTTTTAAACAATCTTTTATGCAACAGGTAACTGAATTCACTCTGTTTCACCACAGTGTTTGAGTCTCCTATTAATGTGGCTGCTCTCAAAGTCATATCTGTGCTATTGATGGGAGACTATGCATCTGGTTTGATAAATCCTTCATCTCTCCTCCCACAACAAAACAGAGTGTAAAGTTTACTGGCAATGGAGGGAACTGAGTCAACAACTCGACAGAGAGCAGCAGGAGCAGCTGGGAACCGGGAGCCAGACCAATCACTGCTGATGTCCGGCAAGCCTCTACACCGCTTCATCCAAAAAGAGCCCAGGAGTCTTGGGGTAACACAACAAGAAGTCCAACCAGTAAAAAGATGTCATAACTACTTGTATCCATCCTCCCTCTTCTCCTCCCCAGATTGTCGTTCTGATATTTGGCTGTGCTGAGCTGCTGATGGGATTTCAGCTGGCCAGTGAAACTTTGGTTACCTCATATGGAATCTATGTCCCCTACTGGCAGGGAGCTCTGGTACGTGACATTTTACTGGCTTGCAGCAACAAACTGAAAATGGACCAATATAGTGCCTGCTTGCTTGTATCCATTAGCCATGCTTGATAAGAATATGACCTACAGAAAGTCTGGAAGCATGCAAATCTTCAAATCACTGCACAGTGACAGATGCAATGTCAGTTTGAGGAGAGCGAAATTTGTACATTACTTGCTCTTAAGGGTGTCTGATGATATCAGCATCAGCAGCATCAGCATCAATATTGGCCGAAAAGTCTTAAAAATAAATAATTGGCAAAGGGCCCAAAGTAAATATTGGCAGGCAAAAAACACTTGTGAGGCAAAAAGTGCAGAAAGATAAATCCAGAATAGAATAGAATAGAATAGAATAGAATAGAATATTTATCCCAGACCTGGGAAATTACTTTGATAAAGCAGCAAAAAGAAAACAACAAAAAACAATTAAGAAAATATGGTACAGAAGCTTTTCTTTTCAGAATGTTACATTACACCTTAAAGTCAAGCTCAGCTTGTAAGGCACAATTAGGCATTTATATTCTGACTAACTGTATAATTTAAAAATCAGCTTGCAGTTCAGAGGTTAGTGGTTGCATCTTTGGATGAAATACAAAGGAAAATGATGTGATAATGTGTTTCTTTGGTTGTTTTTTAAGTTTCTTGTCTGTGGAATCCTCTCAATCTACACTGAGTTACATCCTTCCAAGAAGATGGTAGGTGTAGAATGACATGCTCCTCTGGTTGTAATGTTGAACTTTATTTAGTCACTGGCAGCCTTTCTTAATCTTGTTAAACTGATCTTTCCCAGGTGACAGTGTGTTTGGCCATGTATGTGGTTTCCATTTTGGGAATCATAGTTTCTCTTGGCTACAGAATATACTGCTTCATTCACATGATTGTCGATGGCTATTACAGACGCAACACCTCTGACAGAACGGTGAGTTACAGCATGAGTATTTTTTTGGACTAAAATAAACAACATACTTATTTTCATAGTGTATGGATACAACTAACTTCTGCTTTCTCTCAATGTAGGCACAGCTCTCTGGTGTTGAAAGCATATTATTCATATCCTCTCTGTTCGTGTCAGGGATTCTCATCTTCCTGTGTGTCATCGCCCGTTTTGCACTAAAAAGCACACAGACTCAGGTAAATGCACTTTGATTGTTATTGTTGTTAGATAGATAGATAGATAGATAGATAGATAGATAGATAGATAGATAGATAGATAGATAGATAGATAGATAGATCAAATCTGGAATATATTGTCAAATACAACAATATCAAAATGTATAAAGGCCAGATTCCAAATAGGGATGTCACAATGTTTTAAAAAATCAAAATATTAAATAATTAATGATATGACATTATGATAATTTAGTAAATAATGAGTAGTCCTCAGGGTGTCACTCTAACACAGTACATGGTGGAAACAATGGTTGCCACTGAGGAATAAACAACCCAACAACAGTCTGAAACACAGACACAATCAAGGCAATTTTTAATCAGACAAATCTAACCTTCTACGACACCCCAAAACATCTGCAGCCAGAAGAAGCCAAACGTAATTTCTGACAACAATATCTGAAAAATGACACTATTCATTAGCTTTGTGTCACTCATCTTTTATTCCTGTTCTCTTTCTGTTCCACCTCCATATGTTCCACATCAGCTCATTGTCCATCACATCTCAGCACCACAGAATGAAACAACGTCGAGCTAAGATCAACCTTTTTAGCTTTTACTCTGCGATTATAAGCACTGTTTTTCCTGCAGTTCACCTCCCCTGTGACAGAAATCTGCCCGAATTCTGTACAGTCTATCACTTGTAAATGTTGCACTGCCATACTGTTATGCATTACTGAACCATGTTTATTTGCTTTTTGTAATGCTTGTTTGAAAAGGAAGGGATTTCTGTCATAAAATGAGAGAAAAGAATATTTTATAAGTACCTACTAAGGGAGTACAGTAACCACTCTAGCAAGAAAGGCTCATGTGTAGCTCCTGCAGAGGCAACACAGCACATTATTCATAGTGCACATCAGCCTCAAAGCAAACAGTTCATATCTGCCAATCCTAGTATCTATTAACATATCAAGCCACTAACTAATGTTGTTTCACCTAATGTATATTGTACAAACATTAATGCACAGTGATGTTAGTTAACACTGGTAAAGTCAGACAAAAGGTGATGTTTGTATATTTATATCAGTTGGAAGTGTTTTTTGCTTCTGATCCACAATCTCCCAAACTCTAAGAAATCCACGGTTTTTAACCCAAAAATACCCAGTCGATTTGAGTTTCTCTTATATGTTGTGATCATCTAATTCTGGCAACTCCGGGGCATACATACATGCATATTTTGTAGAGTGAAAAGAAATAAATCGAAACTCTGCAGCAGACATCACAGTGAGCATTTCTTCAAATGTTAATGCACTGTTTCTTTTTTTTCTGAGCTTATGAGTGTCGGCATTGTTATAATTACCGTAAGTACAGTATGTCAGTTGAGTTTTAGCTGTCATTAAAACTGCAGCGCTTGATAATCAGCGTGAGCCTCTGTTCGCATTTAGCTGAAAGCTTTGTACAGTTTGACTTTGGCTGAAAAAACAGAAGGGAGCTCCGAGTTCTGGATACAGGACATCTGCCTGTCAGAGCTATTTGAGAAATCTTAAATCATTTTACAGTAGAGTTCATCACATGTGGCTTCTGCACCTTGCAGATGAACTAACACAGAAATGTCACATTGATGTGATGTAGCGGTACGACTTAAGAACAGGCACATGGTTGATATGAGTCTGCTTGTCTTTTTTTAATATGTATGTGTGAAAAACAGATTTAGCTTAAAGTGTTTTTTCTTTGCTTTGTGTGGTGCAATAAATGTTTGATATATTGTCTTTTTTAAATAAATGATAATTATGCAGCACCCTTGTTTCATTTTTACAGATACTGTTTCACTTCGTAAACATGACTTTACCTCCCATTCACTGCTTTGTACAACAGTTAAATATATTTTCCTCATCTGAGATTTTATGCACCAGGTTGTTTAAAAAAAAAAAAAAAGCAGTGCTGTGGGCTTCATGTAAACCTCAATGGGCATACATTAAAGACAACTGTGTGCACTGACAGGAACAGCTGCTGTTCCCTAGCCTGTCTTTAGACTCTATCAGTTCTGGATGAAGCCCATTGATCACAACTATGCATCATTCTTAAAATCTTCCATCCTTCATGCCTGCCCAAGTTAGCAGACACCTCAACATCAGTATTATAGCTCTGACATTGTGAAACCACAAAAACTGCAAAAATTTCAAAAAACTTTTTGGTCTTTTAATTCATTTCCAGTCATTTCATTAAGAAGACAAACAGTAGTTCAACACTATGAGAGAAGTCTTCCCCTGGCGTTGGTGGTAGAACCGGCAGAAGAACTTCTTGTAGTCATATTTGGTCCATGTGCAATTTTCTTTTTTTGGTGTTCACAGTATTTAATAGACATAGCTGGCAGTGTACAGAGACTGCATGGAGGACTGGTCAGCTGAGCCGGTGGGCTTGTACTCTCCTTTAGCAGCCAGGCCATTGATCTGATGGGAGCAACAGAAGAGGGGGGAGTTAGGGCAAAGTCAAATCTGAGCGTTAATGATCAGCCACATGGGCCGCATTAGTGCAAACACACAAAAATCCTACAACAATCAATCATTTACCAAACAGTATAAAGTTGAGTAACACAAGATAAGCATTATTTAATAGCCAACTCTTCAGTGCTGTTCACGCCCTCCGAGACTCACCTTGGCCCTGTTGCAGAAAGCGTCCTGGGAAGCTTTCTTGTTGGCGGCTTTGCCCTGCCAGGCTGCCAGAGCAGAGGCCTGGAGTGCGCGGCCGTAGGAGAAGGTGAGCTTCCAGGGGCGATGGAGGGGCACCTGGTTGATGGCGTTCAGGTGGACAGAGGCCTCCTCCTCACTCTGGCCTCCAGACAGGAAGCAGATGCCTGGAAGAGACGCACAAAAGCTGCTTGTACTCGGAGAAACATCTGTTAAAAAGCAATTTGTTATAGCGAGAGGCTGGCCTTGTGACACTCACCGGGCACCGAAGCGGGGACGGTGCGCCTCAGAGCGGTCACTGTTGCCATAGCAACCTGCTGAGGGGTGAACTTCTTAGTGCAGGAGTGTCCAGCGGTGACCATGTTGGGCTTCAGCAGGGTGCCCTCCAGGTACACATGGTGATCAGACAGAGCCTTGTACACAGCAGCCAGCACCTAAAGAAGAACAGGCAGATTTACGGTCAACACAAAAATCTCATGTGACAGGGAAATTCTTTTAGCATGGTTAGTATGTGCTGTACGAACCTTCTCTGTGACATACTGGCATCGCTGCAGGTCGTGGTCTCCATCAGGCAGGATCTCTGGCTCCACAATAGGCACCAGGCCATTCTAATGGGCACAGGTTAAAATAAATGACTCACAGCTGATACACTCCGTTACTGTAGAGCTAAATCACAATACAAACACACACACCTGTTGGCAGATACTGGCATATCTGGCAAGGACGTTGGCGTTCTCTGCGATGGCAAGAGCTGAGGGGCAGCCATCTGAGATCTTGAGCACAGACCTCCACTTGGCAAAGTCGCAGCCGTCCTTCTTGTACTGGGCGCAGCGCTCCGAGAGGCCGTCAAGACCTGGAGATGGCAAAGAATGTTAGTAACCCATGTCTGCAGGGTTAAATCTGCATCAATTTGTAGAAAACTGCAATAAAATGTACAGGTTTGCCAATGAGACTCTTTACCTTGTGTGGTGGTCTCTCCATCTGTTCCATTCAGACCAGCTGTGCCTTTGTCCACCTAAAGCAAGACAACCAAACACGTCAGTGAGTTTCACAAAGGGTCAAATGTTTAACTTGTTGGGAACGAACAGTACTGCACAGCGTCCTCACCTTGATGCCAACAACGATGCCCTTGTCCTTGACGACTTGGGGGAAGAGCTTGCCGCTGTCTGATTTCTGGTAGAGCGTCTCGTGGAAGAAGATGACACCACCCACGCTGTTAGAGATGGAAGGGTCGGAGGAGAAGAGGATGTCACGGAAGGTTCGACGGTTCTCCTCGTTGTTCTCCACGTTGATTTTCTGGAGACGCTTCCCCATGGTGCCTTTAAACAAGATCGTAGAGAAATCATTTTTGCTGAACACACTGCACGCAGTTAGCTCTCAGTGTAGCTTTGAACCGAGACCGATGCTCACCTGTTGACTCATCTGCAGCCAGGATTCCCTTTCCTGGAGCTACAATCCTCTGAGCAATGTCAGAGAGCTCCTTCTTCTGCTCCGTAGACAGGGATGGGTACTGATGAGTCATCCTAGCAAAGACAAAGCAACGTTATTTGACAGGTGTACAGAAACACGTCCAGTACCAGAGTAGATACACGAAGTGTACTTCAAGGAACCTACCTGCAACTTAGTTCAATGCATGGTTGCAACATGAAAAGAAAATCTTATTTACTGATTAAGATGAACTTTTTAATGTGCAAACATTCTGTTGATAGGTAGCATTGACATACTAATGTTTAATTTAAACTTCTGCATTAGTCGACTTAAAACTGAAGTCAAGTTCAGGTAACTTAATAACGTTGGCCCTTTAATTTAATGTTTCGTCAGCTCGAATTCAGGATTTCCAGTTCCCTTCCCTGTTTAACACACCTGAAAAAGGCTGATATGAATGGCTTCTTTTTTCCTAGCCATACATAATGTGGAGAGAATGAGGAAGATTTAATCTTGTTTTTCCATCTAAACCTGTCTCCAACATCCTGCTTCTCTTGCACCACCTTTCAGGTTAAATATTTGGCTTGCACTGTTGAACTTTGGCCTCAAAACTGATAAGTTTTCCCTTTCCATGTGCAACAAAAGTTCATAGCTCACTTCAAGTTGTTGGCTACAAGTTAACCCAGTGCTTTGGGAATATATTAAACAGAACGACGTGATGGCTTAGGAAAAACACAATGGCATGAGCATTTTGCAAACAGTCCGATAAAGGATCAGAAAGGTTGAACCTCCTGCACAGAAGTTTGAACATCTATCACTCGAGCAAACAGACTTAAGAACTTGTGCATCCAGTTCTGCAGTTTTCGTGTAAACTTGCAGCTTAAATCAACAAATCCATCGCTGCACGCTGACAGACATGAGGAGACCCACAGATGCAGACGGATTCTGCAGAAAACAGTCGAAACGCTGCAACAATTTCTCTGAAGAAAAAAACACGGAAACCTGCAACAGCTCAAGTATGCGAGAGTTTAAAAGCTGAAAACACGTCTTACTTGACAGTTTTATCAAACAGCGACGGCAGCACAAGTGTCCAATGGCCTCTGTAGCCTCCCAGCAGCAATTGCACTGATCGAGAAGGCCGAAAAGTAGGTAAAAAGCCGTATTTATGGGCTGCTGTGCGCCGTGGAGGACGTGCTCGTGATGTGGCGGGGCGTGTGTCGCCCTGGTAACGCAATTGGCCCAGTCAGAGCCGGGGGGAGGTGTCTGGTGGTGTGGCTTCATCAATGCTGCTTTGTGGACTCTGTTCATATCAGGAACCGAGCGGGTGAAAACAAGAAAGGAACACTGTGTCATAAAATCAAAGTGTGCATGCACTCATCATGAAGCTGCTCCGCCTCTTGTGCTGGTTTCTGCTGCTGCACAGCTCTGAGATGTCGAAATAAGACGTGAGAGGCCTGCTGCAATGTTGCAATACAGGTTTCTGTCTTCCTTTTGTTCTGGTGATAAGGAAATGGAAAGAGCATATCTGTTTGTCTCATTGGAGTGTCTTATTAGACAATTACAGCTTCTTTTTTGTTGTTGTTTTAACTTTCAAAGCTACTTTCAAACTTCACTGATTTGCATTAATGCATAAAGGACTACTAATGTTCAAAATATTTACGAAATATGACATTTTCCAGGTCATTTCAGGTCTTATCAGGTTACATCTCACAAACAGACTACCTTGCTAAATTTACTTCTTTCTTAAAGTCCTGAAAAGCACGTTTGTCTGCCTGAAACAAACATGTGCATCTTATAAAATATATATTTTATAGTGTAATTCTTAAATATTCATCCATTATCTATACACCACTTAATCCTCACTAGGGTCGCGTGGCGCCGGAGTCTATCCCAGCTGACTCAAGGTGAAGGCAGGGGACACCCTGGACAGGTCGCCAGCCTATCACAGAGCTACACTTAGAGACAGACAACCAAGCACATTCACACCTACGGACAATCTAGAATCACCAATTAACCTCAACATGTTTTTGGACTGTGTGGGAGGAAGCCGGAGAACCTGGAGAGAACCCACACTGCACGGAGAGAACATGCAAACTCCACGCAGAAAGAACCTGGGTGGCCTCTCTGGGACGCAAACTGGCGACCTTCTTGCTACAAGGCAACAGTGTTACCAACTGCACCAGCTTGCAGCCCAATTCTTAAATATATATATTGTACACAAAAGTAGTCAGAAATGCCTTTTTCTGTTTCTGCTTCCCAGTTTCCATTTTACACCACAAGAAACTTTTATGAATTTATATTTTATCAAATTAAATCAGGTTTATTTATATAACACATTTAAAACAACCTGAGCTGATCAAAGTGTTTTGCTTTTTATCAGCGAGGCAGCAACAAAAATGTGTTCAACAAGCAAGACAGAATGAAAAACTTGTAAAGTTTATGTAACTAGAATTGCTGTTGAAGGTGATTGACTACATTAATGCAGAATTAGGGGGTGCTGTTCTCCACATAGTGTCATCACACAATTACAGGACCATGTTCTGGTTCATTTGTGGGAAATTAATGATATTTCACCAGTTTGATTCAGAGTAAAACCCTCTTTTTTAATGCCCCCTTGTGTATTTCAGTCTCATGCGTCACATTATCTGTTAAGTACGTCATGCAGGAACAGTTTTCATATTGATTGCTGTAAAAGGGCCAAAAACTTGTAGGGGTTGTTTTCTGTTTCCACAGTCCATGAATGACCTCAGCAGATAGGGATGTTTGAACCCCTATAGACCAGGGTGGATTTGTAACTCACAAATAATGACAAGCCAGGTTTTACACAACCTGGACTCTGCACTCTGTGCAATGTACTCTTTAATATTGCTGATCAGAGTCCAGTTTTTGTCTGGAGGCTTTTTTCCAGACCCTTTACCATAAAGACTGAAGAAAAACAGAGTCGGGAGAATAAAGAATGTTGATCAGACAATGTTGCAAATCCCAACAAGTATATAAGGTCAATTAAAAAGGTTGCACAACACCAAATTATGCTTTGGTTGTTTTTCTTATGTAATAATTGCGAGAAAAAGAGCTACAAGTTGCAAATCAACACTGCAGCAACACAGAGTATCTGTACTGAGAGGTCATGTTGCCTAGATCAGGTGTTTTCTGCTTTAATGGAGGGACACCTTCATGTGCATTTCAAATGGAAGGCTTAATTTAGCTGCAGGCGTTTGACTTCCTCATGTCATAACGTAGTGTTCAGTCAATTTATATTTTTAACCTACACTTCATCTCCACAGGACTGGATTACCAGCAGGATTTAAACAAATATATGAAATGCAGCCTGACCATCATAAATATTAAGGGCTAGGCTAGGGCTAAAAAGAATGTGTGAACACTGAAAAGTTCAAAAACTGTAAATAAATAAATACCAAATATTTATAAAATAATAATATTTTTAGTTGATTTCAATACAATAAATGTAGTGTACCTTTATGGCCACATGCTGTGAAAGAACAAATGACTATTTGTATATATATTTATATTTTCTTTTTTTAATGTAGTGAGCATGTACAGTTTTGACCTGTTTATTATTATTATTGTTAATATTTTTATCATGATTTTCCTAGATATTATCTGTAAATTAACAAACAAAAGCTAATCTGTAAAATAACTGTAAATATAAATTGCACTGCTTTTCACATATGTAAATATCGATCTACTATCTTGCATTGCATGGCTTCCTTCCTCGTGTTTTGTTTCTTAGTGTCTTTGTCTTTTCTTTTCATCTGTGTTTTACATGTTTGCAACGGGATCTGAGAGAAATGGCATTTCAGTTCCATCTGTATCCTGTACATGTGGCAGAATTGACAATAAAGTTGACTTTGACTTTGAAATTGTTGGAAAAAAAAACACACATTAAAAACCTTTTGTTACAATGTATGACCAGATCTTTGTGCGCCATAAATATTGCACATGCTTTTTATTTATTTTAATTTTTACTTGTTTAATTCTTTTCATACTGTTATTCTGTATATCCACTGTTGTGCACTGTTCTTTTATATTTGATATGTAGTACCTCAGTTTGTGTGAGCCATGAGTGTGAATTAATGAGAGCATTCTGTAAACAGGTTAATCACAGCACAAGGAAGGGACACGGCGAGCTAAGGATTTCATTGCACTGATAACCCGTTTATTGATTTATATGACAATAAAGAGTTGAATCATATGAGTTGTTTTCCGTTGTTTCCATTGACTTGGAGTTGTTGCTCCACCTGAAGGCCGCTGGTGGACGGTGGCGTGTTCCCTCCGCGGCAGCAGGGGGCGCTCTGGCCGCTGGCGGGTCTCCCATGCACACCGTTAACACTTCCGTTTCCTAGAGGCAAAGAGCCGCAACATCAACATCCACAGACACATTCAGTTAATAACTTTAAACTCTTAACAGTTAAACCGGTGAGATTTCTGTTCGTTGTGGTTAATTCTGACAACATTACCAAGCGGCTGCATTTATCAGCCGAAGCAGAATTTTAATCTAACCTGCATTTGAGGCTAACGTTAGCAAGCGGCTAACATTAGCCGAAGCTCACATTGACTGATTTAATCTACTTGTTCGGGGTTTAAAATGTAATAGCAGCTCAGTTGGGTGTATTTCTTTCGAATTTTCGGGGTAAAGTGTCAGAAAAAGACTTTAAAGCAGTTACCTTGGACCCTTTACTAAAGCATATGTCTAAAACACTGCAGGAGGCTTTGTCGTGTTTCCACTAAATGTGACTGTCAGTGAGCCACAGTCTTCTCCAGTTCTATTTAGTTTTTTCTGTCTCTCGTTTGTTTCAGGAGTCGGAGGATGTCGGGACAGAAGCGTCCTGCTGACCCCAGCGGTCCCTCGTCCTCCGGTGCGCCCCCGGAAAAGCGCAGGGAGAGGGAAGGAGAGGATGGAGGTCCCGGTGTCAGCGCCGCGGCCGGGGGGAGCACCGCGGTGGAGACGGTCATCAAACTGGGAGGGGTGTCCAACTCAGTGAGCGTCTCTTTACTGTCCACTCTACTGTTAATACATCTGTTAATAACCGTCACTACAGCCTGTGTTTCTGTTTGAACTAACGTTTGCATCACTTCTTTTTCAGGAGGAACAGGACATCAAAGCTCTCCAGGCCAAGAACCGAAAACTTGGGGAAGCTCTCGATCAAAGACAGGTAAATTCATCCTCAGGTATTTGTGCACAAGTTTTCAAACACACTCAAAACAACGCTTATGTGTCATCTTGTTCATGTAATCACTTTGAATCTGTTGGATCGTTGGTTTGCAGGTGATTGAGGATGAACTCCGAGAGCGAATTGAGAGACTGGAGACCCGACAGGCCACAGATGATGCCAGTCTGCTGATCCTCAACAGATACTGGAACCAAGTAAACACTTGCACATGGACGCTCAAACAAAAATGATATGTTCAGCATTTCCAGTTTCCCTCTCTGCAAAGATCTAACAGTCTGAATGTGATGCCACTCTTTCTCTTTCAGTTTGACGATAATGTTCGACTCACCATCAGGCGTTACGACCAAGCAAGCAGTGAACCCGAGAAATCCCCAACAGGTGATGGACGAAGCCTGAAGCCAGAAACTCCAGAACCTGATGGCGACTCCAACCAGGAGAGGGCCAAGGACAGAGGTAAAGACAGACTGACACAAGAGCATCACTCTTAAAGCAGTAACTTAAAAATAATGACACAACTCAAAGCCAGACCCCTCTTTCCTTTGGTTGCCATGCAGGCCAACAAGGAGAGACATCCAACTCCTTCCTGGCCACACTGGCGAGCAGCACCAGTGAGGAGATGGAGGCAGAACTTCAGGAGAGGGTGGAGTCCAGCCAGAAGCAGGCCAATCGCGTGGTGGAGATCTACGAGTTTCTGAAGAGCACCGTGGACCAGCTCAAAGTGGAGCAGGACCCTGGAGCTGGTGAGATGAAACGAGTTCGCGTTTTTGTGGAGCATGACTTTATGACAGGGTTGTAGTGGATTACAGCTGAGGATGAGATTCATTTGAGAGAAGTTCAACCATGTTTGTACCTACTAAATGTAAGATGGTTGCCTTTTATTCCAGAGGGCAGTTTGTGGCAGGTAGCTTCCAAACTGAACTCTCTCCTTACCAGTGAAAATGAGCGGCTGCAACAGCTGACAGAGGACCTCAAACAGAAGCACAGTCACATGACCAGCGAGGTATGAATTGTTACTTTACTCACTGATCCATCCACCCATTATCTATACACCGCTTAATCCTCACTAGGGTCGCGGGGGGGCTGGAGCCTATC